AGAGACACTCACACACAGAGACACTCACAGAGACACACAGAGACACTCACACACACAGAGACACACACACAGAGACTCTCACACACAGACACACACACAGAGACACACAGAGACACACACACAGACACACACACAGACACACACAGAGACACTCACACATACTCACACACACAGACACATACAGAGACACTCACACACACTCACACACACACACATAGACACACACAGAGACACTCACACACATAGACACTCACAGAGACACACACAGACAGACACACACACACAGAGACACTCACACACAGAGACACTCACAGAGACACACAGAGACACTCACACACACAGAGACACACACACAGAGACTCTCACACACAGACACACACACACAGAGACACACAGAGACACACACACAGACACACACAGAGACACTCACACACACTCACACACACACAGAGACACACACAGAGACACTCACACACAGACACAGAGACACACACAGACACACACAGACAGACACACACAGACAGAGACACAGACAATGCCACTCACTTGTCTTCAAGGGTAAGACCTCAACCACGACCCAGGGTGAGGATGATGGTGGTGTTGGTGGTGGTGATGAGACGGTGGATCTGACGCGAAGTTGATAGCGGTCGCCGGGATGTCGCAGCGCTGAGGAGACATCGCACCGTGTCTCTGCGGTGGCAGCGCAGACGGTCCGCCAGCGGGCTCGTCCATAGCTGCACAGAGACACGGGGAGGAGGAGGTGAGGAGTGGGTGTGTGAGTGGGTGTGTGAGTGGGCGGGTGAGTGGGTGAATGAGAGAGTGGGTGAGTGAGTGAGTGAGAGAGAGAGTGAGAGAGTGGGTGAGTGAGTGGGTGAGTGAGTGAGTGGGTAAGTGAGCAAGCGGGTGAGTGGGCGAGTGAGTGAGTGGGTGGGTAAGTGGGTGGGTGAGTCAGTGGGTGAGTGAGTGGGTGGGTGGGTGGGTGAGTGAGTGGGCAAGTGAGAGAGTGGGTGAGTGAGTGGGTGAGTAAGTGGGTGGGTGAGTCAGTGGGTGAGTGAGTGGGTGGGTGGGTGAGTGGGTGGGTGAGTGAGTGGTTGAGTGTGTGAGTGGGTGAGTGAGTGGGTGGGTGAGTGGGTGGGTGAGTGGATGGGTGGGTGAGTGGATGGGTGAGTGAGTGGATGGGTGAGTGAGTGGGTGAGTGAGAGAGTGGGTGGGTGAGAGAGTTGTTGGGTGAGTGGGTGGGTGGGTGAGTGGATGGGTGAGTGAGTGGATGGGTGAGTGAGTGGGTGAGTGAGAGAGTGGATGGGTGAGTGAGTGGGTGAGTGAGAGAGTGGGTGGGTGAGTGGGTGGGTGAGTGGGTGATGAGAGAGTGGGTGGGTGAGAGAGTGGGTGGGTGAGAGAGTGGGTGGGTGAGAGAGTGGGTGGGTGAGTAAGTGGGTGGGTGAGTGGGTGGGTGAGTGAGTGGGTGAGTGAGAGAGTGGGTGGGTGAGTAAGTGGGTGGGTGAGTGGGTGGGTGAGTGAGTGGGTGAGTGAGAGAGTGGGTGGGTGAGTAAGTGGGTGGGTGAGTGGGTGGGTGAGTGGGTGAGTGAGAGAGTGGTTGAGCAAGTGGATGGGTGAGTGAGCGAGTGAGTGAGTGGATGGGCGAGTAAGTGGGTGAGCGAGTGAGCAAGCATCTCACAGTTTGCTGTCCACCCTGTAGGCAACGTCCAGGAGCTGTGAGCTGCTGCTGGTGGCGACGTCCACTTGAGCGTCGTGGTCCCAGCGGAGTTGCGTCAGCAGGTCGCGAGACTCCACGCGGACATTCAGAGGGGGAGTCGCAGCTGCGGAGATGGGCAGTGTGCGCTAACCACTGCACCACCGCTCCCCACACACACACAGTGCGCTAACCACTGCACCACCGCTCCCCACACACACACACAGTGCGCTAACCACTGCACCACCGCTCCCCACACACACACACAGTGCGCTAACCACTGCACCACCGCTCCCCACACACACACAGTGCGCTAACCACTGCACCACCGCTCCCCACACACACACACAGTGCGCTAACCACTGCACCACCGCTCCCCCCACACACACACACAGTGCGCTAACCACTGCACCACCGCTCCCCCCCCACACACACACAGTGCGCTAACCACTGCACCACCGCTCCCCACACACACACAGTGCGCTAACCACTGCACCACCGCTCCCCCCCCCCCCCCCCCACACACACAGTGCGCTAACCACTGCACCACCGCTCCCCACACACACACAGTGCGCTAACCACCGCCCCCCCCCCCCCCCCACACACACACACACAGTGCGCTAACCACTGCACCACCACTCCCCACACACACACAGTGCGCTAACCACTGCACCACCGCTCCCCACACACACACAGTGCGCTAACCACTGCACCACCGCTCCCCACACACACACACACAGTGCGCTAACCACTGCACCACCGCTCCCCACACACACACAGTGCGCTAACCACTGCACCACCGCCCCCCCCCCCCCCCCACACACAGTGCGCTAACCACTGCACCACCGCTCCCCACACACACAGTGCGCTAACCACTGCACCACCGCTCCCCACACACACACAGTGCGCTAACCACTTCACCACCGCTCCCCACACACACACACACAGTGCGCTAACCACTGCACCACCGCTCCCCACACACACACAGTGCGCTAACCACTTCACCACCGCTCCCCACGTCCACCACACCCTGGTACCCGATGTATCAACCACCTCTGGCTGTGCTCACCGTGTGTGCACGTGACGAGGTGGAGGACGGAGAGGAAGAGTAGGCCAAGTCTCGAGAAGAGTTCTCGCACCGCCATGACACCCACCTGGGACCCACGTGTTTCCGTTTCTCAAGTCACGTGGTGCAGAGAAATTCGATTCCCGGTTCAATTATCTCCATTTGCGTCGATTCTTAATGGGATAACATTAGGAATCGATTCTTGTAGTGAATTTATAGAGTCGATTTCCGTTGAGATAACATGGGAATAGACTATCGTGGGTGTGTGTTCATGTGTGTGTGTCTAAAGTCGATGTCTGCGTGTGTGTACTTGTGTGTAAGTCGATGTCTGTGTGTACTTGTGTGTGTGTGTTCATGTGTGTGTATCTAAAGTCGATGTCTGTGTGTACTTGTGTGTGTGTGAGTCCATGTGTGTGTATCTAAAGTCGATGTCTGTGTGTGTAAGTTTGTATGTGTGTGTAAGTCGATGTCTGTGTGTACTTGTGTGTGTGAGAGTCCATGTGTGTGTATCTAAAGTCGATGTCTGTGTGTACGTGTGTGTGTGTGTGTAAGTCCATGTGTGTGTATCTAAAGTCGATGTCTGTGTGTGTAAGTTTGTATGTGTGTGTAAGTCGATGTCTGTGTGTACTTGTGTGTGAGTCCATGTGTGTGTATCCAAAGCCGATGTCTGTGTGTGTGTACTTGTGTGTGTGTGAGTCCATGTGTGTGTATCTCAAGTTGATGTCTGTGTGTGTGAGTCCATATGTGTGTGTGTAAGTCTGTGTGTCTACGTGCAAGTGTGTGCATAAGTCGATGTGTGTGAGTCGATGTGTCTGTAAGTCCATGTGTGTTTGAGTCGATGTGTCTGTGTGAGTCGCTATGTGTGTAAGTCGATGTGTGTATGTGTACGTTGATGTGTGTAAGTCCATGCGTGTGTGTGAGTCGCTGTGTGTGTGAGTCGCTGTGTGTGTGAGTCTATGTGTCAGTCGATGTGTGTGTCTATGTGTCAGTCGATGTGTGTGTGTAAGTCCATGTGTGTGTGTAAGTCGATGCGTGTGTGTGTAAGTCGATGTGTGTGTAAGTCGATATGTGTGTGAGTCAATGTGTGTGTTTGAGTCCATACATATGTGTGTGTGTAAGTCGATGTGTTTGTGTGTGTGGGTCGATGTCTGTGTGTGTAAGTCCATGTCTGTGTGTGTCTTTTTCGCCCGGGCAATGCCGGGTACCTCCCGCTGGTACCTAATAAATTCAACTTGAGTGCAGAAGGAGTTTGCGACGTGCGGTGCGAGTGTGTGAGGATGGGTGGGGCATCCTCTACATGTGGGTGGTGAACTACTTTTGCACCATTCGCAGCCAATCCTAATCAGAGTAGTGTATAGTGTAGTGTATAGTGTAGTGTATAGTAGTGTATAGTGTAGTGTATAGTGTAGTGTATAGTGTAGTGTATAGTAGTGTATAGTGTAGTGTATAGTGTAGTGTATAGTGTAGTGTATAGTAGTGTATAATGTAGTGTATAGTGTAGTGTATAGTGTAGTATATAAGTGTAGCGCATAGTATAGTGTATAGTAGTGTATAGTGTAGTGTATAATGTAGTGTATAGTGTAGTGTATAGTGTAGTGTATAGTGTAGTGTATAGTATAGTGTATAGTATAGTGTATAGTAGTGTATAGTGTAGTGTATAGTGTAGTGTGTAGTGTACAGTGTAGTGTATAGTGTAGTAGTGTATAGTATAGTAGTGTATAGTGTAGTGTATAGTATAGTAGTGTATAGTGTAGTGTATAGTAGTGTATAGTGTAGTGTATAGTGTAGTGTATAGTGTAGTGTATAGTGTAGTGTATAGTAGTGTATAGTGTAGTAGTGTATAGTGTAGTGTATAGTGTAGTGTATAGTGTAGTGTATAAGTGTAGTGTATAGTGTAGTGTATAGTAGTGTATAGTGTAGTGTGTAGTGTAGTGTATAGTAGTGTATAGTGTAGTGTATAGTAGTGTATAGTGTAGTAGTGTAGTGTATAGTGTAGTGTATAAGTGTAGTGTATAGTAGTGTATAAGTGTAGTGTATAGTAGTGTATAGTGTAGTGTATAGTGTAGTGTATAGTGTAGTGTATAAGTGTAGTGTATAGTAGTGTATAGTGTAGTGTATAGTGTAGTGTATAGTGTAGTGTATAGTAGTGTATAAGTGTAGTGTATAGTAGTGTATAGTGTAGTGTATAGTGTAGTGTATAAGTGTAGTGTATAGTAGTGTATAGTGTAGTGTATAGTAGTGTATAAGTGTAGTGTATAGTAGTGTATAGTGTAGTGTATAGTAGTGTATAAGTGTAGTGTATAGTAGTGTATAGTGTAGTGTATAGTAGTGTATAGTGTAGTGTATAGTGTAGTGTATAAGTGTAGCGCATCGTGCCCTATGTATTTGTTTAACTTCTTTCTCACCACATGTAGCTAGAACTGATCCTCGTAGTAGTGTATCGTGGTGTATAGTGGAAGACAGTGTAGTGTAGAGTAGTGTATAGTGTATAAGTGTAGTGTATCATGGTGTATAGTGTAGTGTATAAGTGTAGTGTATCGTGGTGTATAGTGTAGTGTATAGTAGTGTATCGTGGTGTATAGTGGAAGACTGTGTAGTGTAGAGTGTATTTTAGTGTAGTATGTACATTTATTTCGCACCGTACGTAGCCCACCGTGCCAATTGGAGGTGCACTGTGATGTATACGCACTCGTATGTTGAGGAGCCCCGGGAACATGTCTCATTCACTGTGACATCACTTACAAAATATGTTCAACAGATTAGCAGAATTACCCTATTGACTGAGTGAAATCGTCTATAAGGCTGAACAGGTGGCTTTGGCAGTAACATAATCTCACCATCCACCAGCCCATGGGGTGCTCCGATCGAACTTGTTAAAAAGCACGTCGGCAGTTTGCGATTTTGTGTTGATGTCCGCAAGCTTGACAATGTTTCCGTTGCGGATGCATACCCTTGCCTCGTATGGACCATTCGCTGGACGCTTTGGCGGGCAAGCGGTTTTTTTCCACCCTTGACCTCCTGTCGGGATTTTGACGAGGCTTCAAACACGAAGAGGGCTTTTAGGACACCCAAAGGGTTGTTTGAATTTAACCGGCTTCCTATGGGGCTCCACTCTTCATTGAACATGACTTTATACAAGCTATTGCATTTTGTTATAAAGCCGACATTTAACTCATCCCAAATCTGCATTAAAACTTATCACCTCTCTCTAGCCATGAACCCGGCTTCATTGTGGCAGGAGTTGCACAGCTGTCAAAGTTTGCAGTCGCGTCTTTGCACGGTGCACTGCAAAATGGTGGGTGGGTGGCTTGGTTTTCACCGCGAACCTCCTTCCAAGACAACGCCACATTGACAGCTATGCAACACGGAGACACTTACGTTCGCAGACGTGAAGTTGACTTGAAAACATTTATTGACCACGCGACTCAAACGTCCATTCGACCATTCAAGCGTAGCGACAGGTAAGCGATGTCAGTGCACATTCATCGCGAACAAATACCTCGAGGCATTTCGTGACGACTTGCAAGGCGGAGCATCGGACGTCTCTGTCGATGCCGTTGTGTTTGTCGCGCTTGAGGTGCATCTTCACCTCGAAGTCAACGTCGCTGCTCAGATCGTCGCGCATCTCCACGTATGTGAAGCTGCTTGTGGACGGCTTCCGCTATTTCTTCTCTCCTCCACCTGCTGCTGCTGCTGCAAGCGGCTTGAGAGACGCAGGCGGCTCGCGCGCTCCTCACCGCCCGTCTCGCGGCGGTAAAAGTAGTTGAAGTTGGAGACGACGACGGGCACGGGGAGGGCGATGGTGAGCATGCCGGCGATGGCGCACAGCGAGCCCACCGCCTTGCCCCACGCCGTCACGGGACACATGTCGCCGTAACCCACCGTCGTCATGGTTACGATGGCCCACCAGAAGGTGTCGGGGATGCTTCGGAACTCCGAGTTTAGTTGGTCGGCCTCGGCAAAGTAGACGGCGCTGGAGAAGAGGATGACGCCGATGACGAGGAAAAATACGAGCAGGCCCAGCTCGCTCGCGCTCGCCTTCAAAGTCTGGCCCAGGATCTTCAAGCCCCTGGAGTGCCTGGACAGCTTGAGTATCCGGAACACTCGCACCAGCCGGGTCATCCGCAAAATCGCCAGTGACGTGGCCTGCTGGTCATGCCCTTGGGGCTTGGCCATCTCGATGCCAAGGGTGATGAAGTAGGGCAGGATGGCCACGATGTCAATGATGTTCATGATGCTTTTGAAAAATCCCAGTTTGTTGGGGCACGCAAAAAACCTCACCAGCAGTTCAAAGGAAAACCAAACGATGCAAATAGTTTCCACGATAAAAAATGGATCGGGGACAGAGCCGCGATGCGTGCCGTCGACCCGCGTCCCGTTCATGTCCTTTGCCGGGAGAAACTTCTGCTTATTCTCGTCCCTGAGTTCAGGCAGAGTCTCGAGGCAGAATATGATGATGGAGATGAGGATGACCAGCACGGACACGGTGGCAATTCCCCTGGCCGCGATGGAGCTCTCGGGGTATTCGAACAGCAGCCACACCCGCCGCTGGAACTCGTCCGATGGCAGCGGCTCCTCCTCCTCCACCTCCTCCTCTCCGATGAAGCCCTCGTCTTCCCAGAACTTGACCACGGCCTCGTTGCCGAGCTCGTAGAACTCGATCTCCTCGCCGAACACTTCGAGGGAGACGTTGAGCGGGCGTCTCAGCCGCCCGCCGGACTGGTAGTAGTGGAGGATGGCGTCGAAACTCGGCCGGTTCCTGTCGAAGAAGTACTCGTTGCGCAGGAGGTCGTGGTAGCGCGACCTCTTGCCGGGGTCGCCTAGAAGGGTGTCCGGGAACTGGCCGAGTGTCTTGAGCCGCGTCTCGAATCGCAGCCCCGACACGTTGACGACGACCCTCTCGCAGGACTCGTGCGTCAGCGGCTCTGTGCCGCCGTCAAGCAGCGCCGCCTCGTACATGGCGGTTGGAGAACTGCGCCGGGGTCAGAGGTCACAAACGGGTTTTGATTCCTTACCCGTACCCGTACCCGGCCGCACCCGTACCCTACCCGTACCCGCCCTGGTACGGGTAGGGTACGGGTATCTGGTACCCGATTGCGACCTCTGGGATGAAGCCATGTTGCAGGCGCGGGTGGGTTGATTCTAGGAACTTGAATTGTGAGAAGAGAGAAGACGTTGGGAAATGAGTGACAAACGGTTACTCACCAGTGACTCACGGCCTACCCGTACCCGGCCGCACCAGGGTCGCAAACGGATACCCGGCTACCCGTACCCGGTCGGGTACGGGTAGCCGGGTATCGGGTAGGGTACGGGTATCGGGTACCCGGTTGCGACCTCTGGCAGGGGTCAGGCTGGCACGCGGCAGATTTCGACAACAAAAAATGTCAGCAGATACAAAGCCGCGTGAAATAAAAAAAATATGCAGAAAATCAGTGGCGGCGCAGAAATGCAATTGTATGTTTCGTATAAGTAAGAGTGGTTGTAAATATTTTAGCAGGTACTGGTGATTTTAACGGTGGTGTTGGCTGGGGTTGTAATGTCATTGTCAGAATTTTAATGGCGGTCGATGTCGAATTTCTACAATTCGTTGCTGTTTAATGGGAGGCAATTACAAATTAGTGAGGGCAGGCGATTTCAAATTTTTCTTTTTTCAGTTGATTTTACATTGCATGGTCATGCAATGTATATGTATGCAATGTTTGCTGAACATCTTTCGCACCGTACGTAGCCAACCGTGTCAATCGGAGGGTAATACTGTGATAGCATGTGGCTTGACAACGCACGAATGAGATTCAATTGCTCTCCACACACCCCCCCCTCGACAATGACACATGCTCCTCCGTTGTATGATGAGTTGCCCTTGCCATCGTAAATGGGTAATCAGCGCCAGGGCAGATGAGCCAATTTATCCGAATGATCGGGTCAAATGTAACCCGTTAACAGTTTCCATTCTCGTGATCGTGATCTCGTTGGCATGTACTCCACTTTCAAAATGTATCCTCAGTCATTGAATTCTAGGGGGAGTTCTCCAGACAAATTTACATTGAGATTAGATGCTTTTAAAGCGGACAAACCGCACGCGGATGGATTCCTGCAGTCACGAAAGCTTCAAATCATTATTAGTATCATTACGCCTCAAAAGCTAAAGCAGGTTGACCTGTTTCCATTTAAAGTTTTCGTGACTGCAGGGATTCATCTTCTTGGTTCTTTCGGTAAAGTCACGTAGAAGGGAAGTAATAAAATAATATAAATAAAACATAAAATAATTCTCACGACGTTTCGGCCACAAAGCAAGCAGCCGTCCTCAGGTGAAGACCAGGTCTGTCGGGGAGACAGCGTCATTCAGATGCTGTTTGTTCATTAAGACGCTGTCTTTCCGACAGACCTGTTCTTCACCTGAGGACGGCTGCTTGCGTTGTGGCCGAAATGTCGTGAGAATTGTATTTTATTATGTTTTATTTTATTATTTTATTATTTCCCTTCTACGTGACTTTACCGAAAGAACCAAGAGTACAGGTTGGCCTGGTTAGTAGTTTGGTGGCAAACTGCCCGGGTGTTCAGTACGGTACTAGGTACAGGGTGTTTCGTCTTGGGCTGTGCAGTGCCCAGTAGTTGATGGTACAGCGATGGATTCTTGATTCTATCTGTGCAGAGCTTTGAGTATCACGCTCAAGCACGCATCGGGCTCGCGAAGGAAAACACACGGCCTGGCGGTAGCGCGTTCACCAATTGTCGCAGAGGATCACAGTTCGAAGGCAGCAACCGCCCTGGTTAATACTGCGGTGCCTACTAACCGTACCGATACTCCGATTCGCACGGTTGGCTACGTACGGTGACAACGTTCAACACACGTCCGTACAAGACCGTCACTATGTGCCGTCTGCTTCACAGTGGACGTTAGGAGTCCTGTGACTTCATTGGCAAGAGTAAAACTACCGCAACTGAAGGCGATGTTTTATTTCAGCAGCTAAGGCCCATTGAGCTGGCTCGAGGAAGCGGCTTCTCGCTTGTAAATGTCCAGCAGGCAAATACCGGCTACGAACGTCGATTACAAAAAGTTGGGGGAGGAACAGGAGGACCCGGAGGGAAAAAATCCACGCAACCAGGTGAAGATAAACACGCAAAGTGGAGATGTGAAGCTTCCGTGGCTGCAAGGATTCATACTCTTTGGTTTTTTCGGTAAAGTCACGTGGGAAAAAAATAAATAATAAAAATAACGGAAATAATTCTATAAATAGGAAATATATAATTATACTTTTATTTCTATTTTTATTTCTATAATTTTCATTATTAAAAATAATAATTATTGTTATTTTATTCCTACTATTATTACTCAGTTGAGGCCTTGCTGGGTAAACAGCATCGTAGGCTCAGCGTAGCATCCTTCTAATTAAGAGGATTATTGCTCAGTGAGGCTTCACTGTACAATAGTATCAAGTGGCTCCCTCTACAGTAGTAGTGTCTACCGAGTAGTATCTACCAACTCTATGGTAGTAGCTACACAACAACAACAACAACATCGTGGTGGTGGTGGCCGTGGTGGTGGTGCTGGTGCTGAGGGCGTTGAAGTTGCTGTTCAAGACTCACCCCTCTCAGCTGCTGTTGCTCTGTTGCCGTGGCAACCGCGCATGCGCAGACGCGTGCTTTGACCACCCCGAGATCGGCGTAGTGGTAATATTAATAATGATCGATTATAAAGTATCGATTTCATTCGTTTACATTTGATGGAGGGTTGGTGGGGGGGGTAAACAAGCAGCACTGACAGGCTCTTGCACAGCACTAGAATATATTGGACATTGAAATATATTGTGAACAAAAACCTATTGATTGGGGGCAAACGGTTCATGCTAAGGGTCCGTCCATAAATGACGTCACGCACCTATGGGGAGGGGGGGGGGGTCAGACATTTGTGACGATGCGTGACGAGGGGGGGGGGGGGGGTTGAGAAATGTGACGTCACATCAAAATGCGCAACTTTAAATAATAATATAATTATATTATTTAATGTTTTATTTTCATTTTATTATTTTATTACTTCCCTTCTACGTGACTTTACAGAAATAACCAATAAGATATAGACAACACGTTCTACTTAACTAAATAGACTTGTTAATCAATGTTTTCTCCTACAACATCAGAGTTTAAAGCGATTTGAAGCATTTTTATTTTTGGGGGGGTGGGGGGCAGAGCTTTGTGACGTCATATTTGAGGGGGGGGGTGACGAGGGGGGTGGGGGGGGGGTCAAAAATCGTCCTAAATCGTGTGACGTCATTTATGGCCGACCTCATCGCTCGCCACCCGCCGGTTGGTTGTGGGTTCCAGAGTCGCCGTCCACTCGTTCAGGACCTGCTGCCCCAGCAGTCGCTGCAGGCTACACGGGGGATCTTTGTCTCTGGCCTGGACTTGTTGTGCAGCTGTTCTAGACTCACTTCAGGCTGCCGATTCCAAATCTGATCTCATATTTGCTCCATCACATCTCATTTTATAATCCTCTATATTAAGTTCGCTTGCTTGCGCGCTTACGACCGTGCAAATCTTTCGGTCGTGTTTTAACCCACTTCCCGTGATCCAATCGAGCTGACATTTTGCACACAGACTCGTTGTGCGTGACAATTAGTTTTCGTGAAAATTTTTTTTTACAAAATTTTACACTGTTTAGGGAAAACAAATTCAATATTTAATTAGCAATTGCTTAATGGTGGCAGACAATCATCTGACCCATAGTTGGCAGCCATCTCAAGCCAGAGGACGAGAGGACTCTAGCCGCCACGCATATAAAGGATTTAGAGTGAAAAACTTTTTTTTACGGGTTATACTTGTTATGCTATCGGCATATCCCATTTTCATTGATTTTACCCGAAATTAACTCTGTCACTTATGATTGCAAGTCGTTGCGAGTCAGTGACTGCTTTAGTGTTAAAATACGGTGCTGTATTTGTAGGATGGTGTGTTTATAATATCATTTTATGTAGATATCCACATTTATTTAATATTTTTCTTCCGCAGTTTTTTATTGAAAATGCAAATATTTGATATCTCAAAAACCTGATGTGATAGACAAAAACTGATGCCAGATTTGAAATCGGCAGAAAAAGTGTTTGACCAGTGTTATACTCGTTGGTCACGTAGGTCATTTTTTGTTAAAAATTAAATCACGTTTCTGGCGTAACACAAGCCTCCTTCTAAGTTGTCCCTACCTGAAGAAGGATGCTTGTGTTGCGCCCGAAACGTCGTGATCTAATTTATTTAGATTTTGTACCCACGTGACTTTACCGAAAAAACCAAAGAGTATGAATCCTTGCAGTCACGAACACTTCAAATCTAGAATTCACACTCGAATTGTAAACGTTGTTGTCGTGGGTTTACTCTCCAACGCACCTGTGTGCCGCTGTACGAGTAACGACACGGCGTGTTTTGTTTACGTGGCAACCCTCACTGATGGGCTGTGTCATCGGGTGGTGGAGGGTCTAACGACACATAAACACATTCCTCCTGCGGAGGGAGCTGGTAGGAACGTTGCTCGCTCAATGGCCTGCAGGGTCAACGGCGGCGTGGTGTATTCCGCAAATATGCCCGACTGTGAGGGCGGGCACAAGCCGGCGTGAGTAGGTTAAACGTTGAGTTTTATAAGGGCACCACGGGGTGACCAGCCCCTCTTCACCCAGCCCCACCCCACCCAGCCCCTCCCAAATCAGCCCCTCCCCACCCAGCCGCTCCCCACTCAGCCCCTCCCTGCACGACGGACACAATAATCCCGTGTGGGCTGGTGTAACCAGAGGTTCCTACGAGTAAAATGTCAAACTCATTCAACCTTTATGGATGCTCAACATGGTATCAGGAGGCCTTCAACGGTGGATTTACAAAAAGGGGCTTAAAACATTCTTCACAGGACATCCATTGCTGACATCCCATAATGAGGTCAAGTCACCTGGCACCCACCTGGGATTGTGACTCATGGCCCCCACAACTTGTGAGTCAGATGTTCTTTTCCCAGTGCTGCTTGGCCAGATAGAACGTGCAACAGGACAACATGAAATCCTGTACACATCTGTGTATAAGCACCGTTTTAATAACGGCTAAAATTGTATTGCTGTGTCATTGAACCGTGAGTGAACGACCCCTTGTGATACAATGTTCAGGCCCTGTGTGGGGCATGTATCCACGTGAGTTCGTTTATACCAGAGGTCGCAAACGGGTTTTGATTCCTTACCCGTACCCGGCCGCACCAGGGTCGCAAACGGGTACCCGTACCCGTACCCTACCCGTACCCGGCCGGGTATCGGGTAGGGTACGGGTATCGGGTACCCGATTGCGACCTCTGGGATGAAGCCATGTTGCAGGCGCAGGTGGGTTGATTCTAGGAACTTGAATTGTGAGAAGAGACAAGACGTTGGGAAATGAGTGACAAACGATGACTCACCAGTGACTCACGGTCTACCCGTACCAGGCCGCACCAGGGTCGCGAACGGGTACCTGTACCCGTCTGGGTACGGGTAGCCGGGTATCGTGTAGGGTACGGGTATCGGGTACCCGATTGCGACCTTTGGTTTATACTCAATTGTCATATGGTCGTGTCAGTGCGCACATGGCTGCGACGCTGTCACACAGTTATATGATGACTGACCCAGAAGTCTAGAGCATTATACAATCAATACAGATCGCCTGTGCGTAGCTGCGTTACGTAACGGCGTGCTCTTAATAAGTCGCCCACTGCAACATTTGTGAAAACAACAACACGACGACAACAAAGATGTACTTCACTTTTCTTTTGCTGCTTCAGAGTTCACTTTTATTACTCCTTGGTTTTATTCGGTGAAGTCACGTCGGTGAAACATTAAAACAAATCAAATCGCAACGTTTCGGGCGCAACACAAGCGACCAACGAAAAACGACGCAAACTCCCTCGGCCTTGCTGCCCGGGGCCCACTCCTTAGGCCTCGCCCCGGGGCCCACTCCTTAGGCCTTGCCCCGGGGCCTACTCCTTAGGCCTCGCCCCGGGGCCCACTCCTTAGGCCTCGCCCTCGCCCGTGGCCGCACCCTCGCTTGTGGCCGTACTCTCGCCCGTGGCCACGTCTGTGGCCTCAGAGAAGTACGGATGGTACAGGGCGACAGACGCGGAGATGCGCTTGCGGGGGCTGAAGGTCAGCAGGTCCTGCGGGAGGCACGGCCGTGCGTGCGGAGGGCGCGGAGAGACACAGAGAGACACAGAGACACGAGACGAAAGACACAGAGAGACACAGAGACACGAGACGAGACACACAGAGACACACAGAGACACGATACGTTATTGCCCGCTTGACGGTAACCCCCGTACGGACACGCATCTGAACAACGCGTCGTTCGACCGCCGCGACAATTGCCGCCGCGTACAATCCGCCCGCATCTCACCAGCATCAGCGCCATCGCCAAATTCTCGTTGTCCGGCCCGACCTCCGGCCCGACCTCCGGCACGGAGTCAGCCAGAGCCCGCGGAGCAGCGGGGAGGCCGGCAAAAGCGCCGTGCGGCAGGGAGGCTCCGAGCGGCCACTCCTCCAGGCTCGGCACGCCCAGAAGACTGGGGTGGGGGCCACGGGGGGGGTGGGGGTAGGGAGGTAGGGGGGGTAGGCGGAGGTGACGGTGAGAATTCAGCTGTTGACTATCAACCTAATTTCATAAATGATTGCGCAACGAAGTGGCTGTTGCGGAATTCACATCAGCAGCCAAATACTCCTCCCCCTTCCCTCTCCCCCCCTCCCCCCTCCCTCTTCCCTCTCCCCCCCTCCTCCTCCTCCCCCCTCCTCCTCTCCCCCCCTCCTTCTCCTCCCCTTTCCCCCTCCCCCCTCCCCCTTCCCTCTCCCCCCCTCCTCCTCCTCCCCCCTCCTTCTCCTCCCCCTTCCCCCTCCCCCCCTCCTCCTCCCACTTCCCTCTCCCACCCTCCCCCCCCTCCCCACCCCCTCCCCCTCCTCCCCCCCTCCCCCCACGTTGCTTGCTGCTAACAAATTAGATGACCGTCTATTGGCCCCCCACGCCGCTGCCCACCGCACGCTCATCCACGAGCAACTCACCGGAATATCTCCGTCAGCTGATCGACATCGGAGCCTCCGGGGAAGAGAGGCCTGCGTTGAGGAGAGACAAGGAGGTCACCTGATGCGACGTCGCTGAGAATAATAACACGTCGTCATCGTCATCATCATCATAACAACACCGATGTAATGGGGGAGAGGTGGACCCACGGGGGCATCTGCCGGGTCTGTCCCTTGACCTTCACGCGCTCCGTAACGCGCACCTATCCTGGCACGGGCGCCGTGGCGACGCCACCTTGCCAGGCCTGTGGTGACATTGCGTGCGGGAGAGGTGGGTGGGTTGGTGGGTGGGTTGGTGGGTGGGTTGATGGGTGGGTTCTTGAGTGAGTTGGTGGGTTGGTGGTTTGGTAGATTGGTGGGTGGGTTGTCGAGTGGGTTGCTAGGTGGGTGGGTGGGTTGCTGGGTGGGTGGGTTGCTAGGTGGGTGGGTGGGTTGTTGAGTGGGTTGATGGGTGGGTGGGTGGTTTGGTGGATTGGTGGGTGGGTGGGTGGATTGGTGGGTGGGGTGGGTTGCTAGGTGGGTGGCTGGGTGGGTTGCTAGGTGGGTGGGTGGGTTGCTAGGTGGGT